GCCCCGGGGTTTTATTTGGAAAAAAAAAAAAAAAAAAAAAAAAAAAAAAAAAAAAAAAAAAAAAGAAAATCCACTAAAGTACATGATGCTGTTAAGTTTTCAAGACTCTCTAATTAAGACAAACTGGATCTCAAAGTTTGTTTGCTCACATATTTTCAAGCTATTAAATATATCTGCACTATAAAAATAGTTCGCTTGCGGTTTTTTGCAGTACATAGAATATCAATATTCTGAATAAACATGAGCAATTTTTTAACAGACAAAATGCAAGATTAATTAAGAAAATACAGTAAATTCTAAGTGAGGAAGATGATTCTCAGTTTTCCATGCTTAGATGGGGCTTCAGAGATGCCATGCATTGAGCACAGCAACTTAAATACTTTAAAACAAATCCTTCCATACCTACACAAAAGAGTACTGCTAATGACAGTGACAAAAAACGATAACTACTCTCGTTTCCACTTTGAGTCATTTTTCTGTGGTTAATAAATTATATCCATAACAGTGTTAAGTTATGGTACAGTGTCACTGGATTAGTTTGCATTTGTGATGAAGCACTTCATATGGCATTACCTATGCCCATGGAAGTACGTAAGAGGAGAGACCACTTCTGTGCTCTCAGAAGAGAGTCTCCCATGCTGGCATTTTGATGGACCCTCCAAGGAAACATTGCCTCCTGACCTCCGCCTTGCTCTTACTTCTCACCTCTGTTGCAGCAGCACATCACTGCGGGGCAAGTCTCTAAATTTAATATGTTTCACAAAACACAAACACTCTTAAATCAGTGTCCTTTCCATAGTGGCGATATACAGTGAGTTATTAGTTAGGCAAATATGGGAAACATTCAGATCAGTTTAGTCATGTGAAAAGGACACCGTCAAATCAATGCATCCTCCCTCAAGCTCCCGGGAAATGGGAAGATTTAGACTGACTGATGGGCTCTTGATCAACCACTGTAAGAGCTTGTTTTTCCCAAAGTTAAACAAATGTATTTTAAGCTTAATGTGATTTGGTCTTTAAAGAAAAAAGAAAAGCAGAAGCTATTTAAATTCTTGCAACCCAACTACCGGAGCACTGGTGAAGAAAGAAATGACAAAAGTAATACGCATGCTTTTAACAACAGAAAGAAGCTCACGGCTTTTAGTCCGTTCTTTTACAAAGAAAGAAGTGCAAAACAGTAAACAAACAGCCCCAAATCAGAGTTCTGTAACCTGGGGTTTTGGTATCTCAAGTGCTAACTTCAAGAGCTGTTATCAGGGAAGATGGTTTTTGTCCATTAACACTATTATAGAAAAATTCAGTATAGTTTAAAAACAACTTTTTAAAAGAGTGTAATTATTGAATTGTCTCCAGTACCACGATACCATCTCTAGTGAAGTATTCCTTTTATAAACTTTTTTCTGCTTTATCATTGCATCACCTACATATATACAGAAGCTGCTATGTGAAATACTATGTCCAAACAGAAATGAAATATTCCATCTCAATAGAATTTGCTTGCTTTCCATCAGTATCAAGTAAAAACTAGCGTTATTGGATTAAAATGTAGAAAAATCCCAAATTATCTGCAGCCTCCATAAGTCAGCAGTGCAAAAGCTCACATGCTTTTATAGTAGGTACGTACAAGATAACTTTGCAGACATATTACTGGAATGGTTTGCAACCAGTGAAGATAATTTTTATTATTTCCACTTCAAAACTTCCTATATTGGAGCCACATCACTGAAAACAATCTAACCTTAGGGGAAAAAAAGTGCTGGGAAAACAGCCCGCTAATATATCCGCTGGAAAGACAAACAGAGAAAGAGAGTAGTCCTCTATAGATTAACCGAAGTCTTTCGGAGACAAAGACTCCAATATTCTGAGCAAGAGAAATAAAATCCCCATAAAAATACCTTGACTTCCTTAGTTTCCTTTTTCCCCTCCCTACCACAACTAGCATCATTTATTTGTATACTCAATTTGTCTCCACTGCACCACAACAAAATACATTTTAAAATTTAAAAGATAAAAATAAATATGATTTTCCTACCACAGCATCATTGGACACCGTACTGCATAGAAAAATAAGTTGCACCTTCACAGTAATTTGACAAAAGAATGACCAAAAAAAATGGCAAAAAACAACAATACGACTAAGGCTTAAGGAAGCATCAGTTCGATATTTAGCAACGCATAAATTGAGATTTCACTTTTGTTTAGGTATATTTTGATTAGAACTAATAAATGGCTGATTTTCCTTTGGTTGTTTGCAACAACAACACATCATCCAAAGAGCTTTATTCTTTATTCCCTTCTCATATAGCATGCCAAAGGCTGTCTCATTTTATGAATTAGCATTTAAAACTACCGTAGGTTATCTAACAAGCATTCAGATTCAATAGTACTTTTGACAGCAGTAAGTAAAGAGCCTTTTAACATCTTGAACACACGTGCTTGAAAAAAGTAGTTACATCAAAGCAGTTCAAAGACTGAAGACAAAAACCAGTTAAAATCCAGTTTGCTGTGAGACAATTTTAGTGTGGTGTAAACAACCTTTCACGACTCCCCATGGGAAACGTTGTAAGACTATGTTCAAAATGAATCAGGCATATTTATAAAGATCATGAAGTGGTCAAATGAATTTGCATTTTTGGCAGATTCACTCCATGGGTACTACTTGCTACAGTCTGTAGAAATCTCAAATCTCACATCAGCGCTGCCTATAGTGCTTTATTATTTATTACATGTTATGCTAAGTACCTGTGAAAGGGGACATTCCTTGGCCAATGAACTCTGGTTCATATCCTTCAGTAAGTCCTTCAGAGCATTTCTCACTGTTGTGTGAGACCATTGTTCAGGAGGCAAGTCTTCTAGTTTAGGGCAACTATTTGAAACACAGATTAGAAAAGGGATTATTACAAGATTGCATCCTGCTGCAGAACATTCCTTTAAGACAGACAGATTTCATTTTGCGCATCAAGCAGATGCATCTGGAGATTGCTCTCGGTCTCCTGATTGTTCCGATTAGTTAATTACTTTATACAACACATCTGCTGTATTGATGCATGAATTATACATCAGCTGCATGTGGCGACTATTTTTTCATGTTACTTCTACCTTCCTGCTCTGATGCGCTTGGTAAAACAATTTAAGGTGTAATGCTTTCTCACGACTGATCATGAAAAGCATTAATATATTAACCGTTTTTTTCTTTTTTGTTACCGTGAAATTTAAGAACCTAGACAGCAACAATAAGTGTGAGCAAGTCATTCTTTTACAAAATGCACACAGATGGTACTGTTCATGATATGCAAAAATATTTTTCTCTTAAGTAAACTTTATGTAAAATGCCTTCTTGTAATGCATCATTTAATTGACTAAAATGCAATATAGTTTTAATGAGATATCCAAAGAAAATCTATGTATCAGAGCTATAAAAGTTTTCTGCAATAGTATACTGTAAGTTAAAGAAGAATTAGAGTAACTAAAAAGGAATTTAGATAAGCCTTTGTACTTTGAGCACACAGCACAGTGGGAATTAAATACAAGCAATATTAACAGTAAGAGCAGACAAGTAACAGTTCACGTCCCAGAACTGGTATGCGACTCACCTGTGTAACTGGATTTTCAGTGTGACCACATGATACACGTCTTGCAGCATGTCTGCTACTGTAGCATCAGGGGCATCTGTCACATAGGAGAGTGGAACTGGATTCCACTTCCCAACCTGGATAAGCCCTGTGGGATTTTTATTTTTTAAGGGGAGGGGGAGTGGGCAAGAAGGGCAGGAAAAATTGAAAAAAAGTAATTTACCTGTTAATTCCTAGGGGCAAAATAAACATCTGATTTTAACAAGATCACCACCTTTGTTTCTAGCCTCTTAAATCTGGCAAGACAAAAGAGCACACCCCCCAAAAACCCCCACCCACACACCACCAAAGATATGCTTTATCTATATTATGAAATTATACAAATGCATTACAGTAGAGATTTTTTAATATGTATAGAAGTGTATTTTCCTAAGTTCCCATGAATTCAATAGGACATGATATAATAGTTAGCATTCCTCTTAATAAATTAGAAAGGATTTTGCAATGCAAGGACTGAGTACGAAAAAAAAAAAAAATCCTTTGCAGTCTATAAAACCATCAGGAACAAAATAAAAGAAACAGAGCTGGATATTCAGTCATAAATGCAAGTTGACTCTCAACAGTCCATCTGCTCAAATATGCTTTACACTTCCTTGTGGATCCTCAGTGGAGCAGATTATTAAGGTCAATAAGCATACTAATGATTCAGTTGAAGTCTTTTTTTTTTCTTTAAACAAAAAAAAAAAAAAAATCTACCTCCACGTTCCCCACGAACAAAACGTGCACTAACTAAACAAAAATACATTAAGGAAAAAAAAAATACAGAGACAGAATCTGCAAGAAGTTTAAGAAGTAAAACCTGCATCGCATTCCTGAAAGAAATCCTGCCCCTCCCCCAAGACCCCACAAACAAACATAATTCATTGTACAGTTTCGTAATCTTATTTACCTTTTGCTTGGGCAGCAGAGCTGTGAGAATATCCAAGTGATAGCAATGCCATTTCAATCAGTTGGTTGAAAAGCATATCCTTCCTCACCAACACAAATTCTGCATGCTCCTCCTTAGAATCGTACTCAATGGCATTTTCATAATGTTCCACTACACAGAAAACTGGAAGCATACTTCCTATTAAAAAAAATGAAATTTAACGTATTAAACTTGAGTTATAGTAGAGTAGGTGGGTCTATACAGCGCTATGTAAATAAAACCTGTACGAACAGGCAGAGGAGTCATCAAGAATCATCACAAATATTTGATAAACATATTCCCTGAGTCCTTTCCCCTCACCCTCCCCAAAAATGAGAAAGTTCTACAAAACATACATCTCTCTGAAATGCAGAAATGCAAATTTACCTCGCTTGATCGGATACAGATTAAAGAATTACCTTCTATAGAAATAACAAGGTTGACTGAAGAGAAGTTGATTCTCTCTGTCCTGCCTGATTTGTTGTGAGTAGCAGGCAGCATGAGAACCTAAATACATACTGCAGATGTCTTCACTGTAAGCCATTTTAGTACCAGCTACATAATTTTGTTCGTTAACATTAAAACTTTCTTAGTCCTGCCAAAAATATTTAATTGCCTTCAACATCAACAACAAATCACCTTGCGTGTTATACATTCGCTCTGAAAAGAGTACACAAGGAAACAAGGCAAAAGTTAACACTAATTCGTGCTTCATTCATTGAGTGCACTTGAGCACTACTTCCACTTGCATCTTTAAGAAACAAATCATGATTTCAATGCCGTTTTAAGAAGCGTACCTGCAGTTCGGGCTTTTTTTATGTTGCCTCCTGTACTTTACATTCAATATTTTTGGTATTCATTGCTATTTTGGTATGCCTGAAAGTAATTACTAATTTCTAGTTTTGTAGCATCATCCAACAAACCCTTCCCTAAGCAACACAGAACATTAAGCAAACAACCTTTTTCCCTTTCCTTTGGCTTTTTTTAAAAATTTTTTTCCTCCCTCTTGACAACAGACAGAGAAGTAACAAATGACCCAAGCTGTTTTAGGGACAAAGTCTCTCCCAGCAATCAGATTTCTAGACATTGTGAAAATCCCTCCTGGCCTCCCAGACGGATGTGGATGACACCATGACCTCGGACCCGCGGTTTTAGGCCCCGGTCCTGTCCCGCTGTCTCCAGCAGTGCAGGTAAGGATCTCTTAATGACAGAAAGCAAAAGGGTTAAAAGCAGATGTACAGAACTGTCTTATGGCAGCCTGCCAGAGGGGTATCATCTTTAGCATAAATGATGACAAGGGTTATTTTAACAGGGCACCCAGGAACTCCAATTAGTCCTACAATGTTAATGCCTCTATAGCCACTGCCCTCTAGACTTACGGAAACCTCCTAACCTGCTAAGGTGCACCAGATGTACCGTAGTCGAAAAAGAAGATTTACTCTCTACAATAGATACACTCTTTAAGACCGCGTCTGTTGATCTGTGCTCTAACGTATAGCAAGAAATCACGATAAAAAAGATACCTCTTAAGCACGTATATTTAAACTACATCTGCACACCAGAGAGTCAATCTCTGGCAAACAAACCCCTTCAGGCTCGCTTGGAAAAGCTCACAAACTCACTCCAGTTTGCCCAATAGGCTCAGCATGAAAGACAAGACTAAAAGCTTGCCAATATTTATGCAGTGCAGGAAGGAGCTTTTTTTTTTTTTTTTTCTCTTGTTTTTTTTTAAATCTAAGCGAGACTGGTCAGGAAGGGAGAGAAGACCAAAGCAAAAGCAGTACATGCAAATTGGCGATTTCTTCATTGGTTTTAATTAGGCTGTGGAGAGCTTTTTAAAACACACACACACACACACGCTTCATCTGCAAAAAGGTGGTGGGTTTTTTTTTCCTTCCCGGCTCTCACAATTGATGTTTGACCTACTACCATCTAACCCAGAGTAAGGGCTCAAAATTCTTAACAAGTTTCACCGTTAATACCTGAAGATAAAATGTAAACGAAGCTTCATTTTAACAAACAGTGCAGATGAAACACTTAAAAACAGCTAAAGCGTATTTGTTTTTTCTCTTATCAGTTCCTACAAATTAAGCTATGATCAGACACAAAACTAGCAATGCACAGGTACTTCTCTGCATGTCAGCACACTTTTTGCCAGGTACAGGGTCTCATGAGTTGCAGCGTTCTGAAAAACGTGGTGCTTTAAACAACACGGGAGAACCTCCTGGCCAAATTTTGATGTACAGCATAGATTATCAGAGGTGGATCCTGATAGTGCGACACAGGTATCATCTGACTACAAATCAAGTCACTAAATCTTTTAGCAAACTGTCACTAGTGTCCTTCTGTTAATGTGAAAAATGTTATACAGGAGAGCACAATCTCAGCTGGCTGATCACTCCTGCTAGTACTTGGCAAGACCTCCAAGTGCAGCAACTTCATAACCTTCTAGTATTAAAGGGGAGAGCATTGGTCAGTGCTCGCTGCTAAAAATACAGCATGATTTAAACCTGAAGGCAGTGTTAGAGCTTTTGCTGAAGGTTTACGAGTCTGTGTAAACAGCACGTCTGCCATAAGGAGCAGTGAAGTCTGTAGAATCCTTGTCTAAAACTGTCCTGGCATTAAAGTTTGCTGTGCAAATATCACATAATACCAGAGACAGCTGAAATCTCCTATTTAGGAATTTATGGAACTTATATGTTTGCAGGCGTCAGAAAGTCCTTTTTATATAGCCCCACTGCTTCACTGTACAATATTAATGCACTCTGCTTGAAAAGCCGTAATAAATTATATTTTTAATGCTCTTACCCTGGCTTTCTTAAGATGCATACATTCTTGGCAAACAATCAATAAATAGGGTAATCATGAGCAGAGGCCAAAGAATTTGCTGAAGTGCTGTTTTTCCATTTTTAATAGATAAAGATCTAACAATACGGACTGCTGTGTCTGTTCATTTCAGGATCAATATATTCTTTGTTTTCGCCAAACCAAGGAAAAAATAAATGATTGTACGATAAATGTTATGCATCAGACACAATGAAATTCCTCTGCCTTCTAACTTTGTGCGTTTAATAGTCTTGGTTGCATTTTGCACTCTGCTTAGCAAATGCAAGAAAAATCTGGATTATAAACATACACCGATTATACTGAGAAAAGTAGAGGCTGTTTTAAAACAATTGCCAAATTACATACAGCATATTCTGATTTAAATTAGCAAGCCTGCAGAACACGGTCAAAAAGACTTACACATTTTGATAAACAAAATTTGTAGATTATTGTCCATTAAAAGTATTTTCAATGCAAACAAAAGCCATCCATATACAAACATCAATGATTCTAAATGTGCCTTTTCCTTGTGTAAATGTCTAATTACAGCAAACCAGCCACTGAAAAATATGACACCCAAGTTGTTCATTGTTCAATAATGAATTGTACTTAAGAAAATAAACTGCGAAGATTGACATCATAAATGACTTTTCCAATGTGATACCTAAAGATTTACACTCTCTCCTTCAAACCAACTTGCAACTGTTATGGAAATACTGTTGCCCTTCCAAGCTTGGACCATCATTAAGAGGAAAGGCGAGAATTTGTTTTGGGGGTTCGGTATTTACTCTTACATATTTTTGCGTTTCTTAGCCCAATACTTACGCAAAGAATTAATGCGTTATATTACTTCTATTTCAATGTAGAAATTTGCTTTAATCAGGGCAGCTAGCCTTTACCTTAACAAAAATCAGACTCCACCCTGTAAAGCAAGATGCTCCACCCAAGCATGAAGCTTACATTTCCCAAATGTGATTTATATCAGAGTTGGGAATATATAGTATTTCAGAATGGAGATTTAATCCTGAAATATAAATGAAGTAGAGTCTGCAAAAGTATGCTTCCCCCCCCCCAAATATTATAAATCATATTCCTCTAATGCAGAATTATCAAAAGTGTTACCTTTTCTAATATTAGTTTTCATCAGGTGTCCAGAGTGTTTTAAAGGCACTCCTTGCATTTTAGTTCCTGTACTTCCAAGTCTTCCTCTTCCTAATGGGCTCCCATTCTGTTCCAAGCGCGCAATTTTGGCTGGTGGACCCTTCGGATCGCTTACATTGTTAGACATTTCTGAATGTTCTTTCCCCTGAGTTGCCTCGTTCAAATGATCCATACTCAGTCCCGCCTCTAAAGATCACCTGCCATGATTCAAAAAAAAAAATATATATATATGTTGTACACGTGTGCGCATATGTATACGTACACAGCCTGCACATGTACAGAGAGAAAGATGTATGTATCGTAAGCTCATAAAGAAAAATAAATAACTATTTTAACTGGAAAGAAGATGCCTTTTTTAAAGGAAGCAAACTTATTCTCAAAAAATGACCTCATACCCCAGTTTACAGACAGATCGCATCATAATCTGGTGGAATTATTTTTTAAAAGCCAACTAGAGTACCCCTTTAAAAAAAATCTTCAGAGATATTCTACTAAATCTGAGAGACACTAAGACTCATATAAATGATGATGATTGTCAAGGTATGTGCTCTAACACAGCTATTGTTACAAATCTCACAGAAAGATTTGTTATTAATCCCGGGTGTTTTTACTGTGCTAAGAGAGAGAGAGACAGAGACAGAGACAGAAAAAGATTCTAGTGAAACATTTCTCAATCTACTTGATTAAAAAAATGGATGCACAACAATAGATTGTTAAAACTTTAGTTGAGGGAGCAACAGATTTATTAGAGATGTAGAATATTGTCCATTTACAATCCCTCCCCCCCTTAAAAATAAGTTTGAAGAGAATTTAACATTTAACTTCAGAAAGCAGTGGCGGAAGATGGTTGCTTTTGAGTTTCCTAACCAATATTATACAAAGAGTTTATCAACTTTTGCAAAGTTCAAAATACGTCTACGAAATTTTTCAGATGTTAAGCTTTAAGTGTTAAATGGAGTAGTTTATTGAATTAAGAGAAATAACTGAGAAGAGAAGGTAGCATCTCACAAAACAATGCTGGAAAAAAACCCCCACAATTTCTACAGTACTTCTGAAGCCCTTAAATATATATAAAAAAAAAAAACAAACAACCCTGGGTGATGCTAAGATACATGCTGGAACAGCTATTTGAAACCAAAAAACGGAAGTAATTTCAATAGCCAATTAAGAAAAGTTGTATGTTAGCATGCTCATATTTCCCTTTTTATAAACTTTTGAAACCTTCGTCCATGAATAACAATTCCAGATAAATCACTAAAAATCTCCCAAGCCTAGAACACAACGGAGTAAGTTTTGAGGATTTTTGTCACTCATCAGAATCTATTTTGCCAAGCATATTAAAAAAAAAAAAAAATCAGTTGCTGAGACCAGAGACATCTTTCTGGTTATGATTTCATTCATCAATACTGTTGTGATTGTTAGGTATTTTACCCTACCTTTCTCTGACTGAGAAAGGTGTGACTACACTGACAATTATGTTATGTATATAATATAATCACTAAGGACAGGTGACTAGACATTAATTTATGAACCAGTATTTACATTAGCAAGTACAAATACTAATACTGGGGAAATCATATTTAGAAAGACTGGCGTGAATCTGATAATTGCTACTTTCTTTCAGTTGCCTAGTAATTCAATACATTTTCTGCACATTTCATAGCAAAGCTATTAAAGCCTAAACATCTTGGGATTTTTTTTTATATACTTCTGTGGCGTTGGTATATATGACAATGACAATTCTGTAAACTGTTTTTTTCTTGTTTGAACACCGTGCTGCTTTTCCCGATACACTGAAGAAAGGTAATATATTAATCTGAACGTTTACAAGCAACCTCAAGAATGCCAGTGAATAGCTAAAGTTCAGAAAATTGTTATTTTTCCTTATGCTGTAAGGTGACAGGCTAAGGTTTACCATTCATCTTGATCCCATCTGTTTTAGGTCGTGTGTCTCATTAATGGTAAACGTGCCTATTTTAGCCACTTGTCGAAAAGATTTTTTTTTTAACTGTGTTAACTGCAGTCTAAGCAAAGAATTACAGACTCAAACCATTAACATCTTCCGATGTTTCTCACGATGCTAACATACTATAGCACTGCTTCTCCGAGACTGGTCTTTCTCAAGAATAAGAGGATTAACAAAAAAGAAAAAAAAAAAGGGGGGAGAGTTAAAAAAGAAAAAAAAGGCTGAAACAAGAAAATCCTTGTCACTTTTGGCAACTTCAGAAGCACTCTAAGGCACCGAGGTTCTTTGCTACAAAAAGTATCTAGTCATCATGAGTCAGAATCGCACTACATCATGTACAGTGAATAAAAGTGATAGATCGCAGTTTAGTTAATACACTGACTACAACCAAAACACCAAATGGGTCATTTTCGCTTGGCCTGAGAATACCCACCCATCGGCATCCTTTCACCGCTTAGTCATCTTGTAAAAAGCTTTATGTTACAAAGCAAAATTACATGCACATAAAACACCTAATTTACTCATTTAAACTCCATGCCCAAGGCTAAAGTTCACTGAAACCTCAGTTTGGAATAGTGATGAGCAACAACCAGCGTGGCCTGCCCAGGGAGAGGGTTGCAGGGAAGAACTATCATCTCCGCCGGTTCCAGGCCAAGAGTTTCCCCGGCTTTCGCATTTAGGCATCTTTCACAACTACAAGTTTTCATCACAGGCACTAAGAGAAGAGCACAATTTCAAGGCACAGTTTCCCAGAGACAGCGTACACGTACGGGCACACCGCGCAATTTCTGAATGGGAGTCGGTGCGGTATCTCCTTTTGTCGCGATGTAACGCCGCCGGTATTATATTATTTCTTTCTCTCCTCCTGAATCAGCCCCCTCCCCATGCCTTTCCCCTCCTCTTCCCTCCCTCCCCCATAAAAACCCATAATCACATTTGAGAGAGGCTCCGCACTTATCCGTTCCATATGGCTCTCACAATCCAGGCCAAGCTTTCCCTGTGACCTTTTAAAGAGACAAAGAAGCAAAGTACTTATCTAGAAACAGAAACACTGCAGTTTTCTGAGTGAAATTAGCAAAACCGACCCGAAACTCACCACTTCAAAACTTGACAGCATATAAATAACAAAAACAAAGGAGGTTTCCTTTGCAGCCCGAGCTCTTGAAGAGGAAGAAGTTCAAGACTGATGTTTTCTAGGCCCCCCCCTTTTTGGAGGGGGGGGAAGGGGGGGCAGCGGAGCTGAGGACTACTTCCCCTAATATTCTCTTATTTTCTCTTTTTTTCGTGTTGCTATTTTCCTCTAGGCGGGGAGGGGCAAAAATAGATAGCGAGAAACAGAGTAGCCATGAGCAAAAATGGCAATGGACAAAAAATACAGATTAAATATCTTTTGAGAGCGCCAGTTTTCGAGGTTTAGCAACGGAAGAAGGAGCTGAAGATCAAATTGATCAGACAAGTGTAACGCTCAAAACGAGGAATTCATAATAATAATAATAAAAAAATAATAAAGTAGAAGGTTTAAATTGAGGTGGAGGGTGACTTAAGTCTAGCTATCCTTTCAAAAATAAAACCAATGCGTACAGGAGCAAGTGAGAAAGGGGGTTATTTAAAAAAAAAAAAAAGGCAAAGGAAAAAAAAAGGCAGCTTTTCTATCCAGTGTGAAGAGCAGAAAGTCTACTTCTAGGTTGTCACTTACACTATTATTCTCCAATAGGCACCCAGAGGAGCAGCACACACAGAAGGAGCCCGCTCCCCTCCCCCTCCGCAAAAATACACACCGTAACAGCCCCCAAACTTTCTGCGGAAACCTCAGCCCCAGAGATCGCTACTGGAGATCCCATTTTTAATCCCCCCTTGTGGGTCCGGGGGGGAGAAGAAAAAAAAAAAAAAAAAAAAAAAAAAGGCAGAGAGGACCTGTCTCCTCTCATTTACCGGGGGCTGTTGTGCGAGTGAGGGGGGAGAGAGGGAGCGAGAGAGGAGGGGAGGGAGAAAAAGAACAGAGGGGAGGAAGGAAACACACACAACAAGGCACACCACCACCACTACAAAAAGTGACGAGGTTTCACTCCCTCCGAGTCCAAAACCGGG